TTTTATTTTTTTTTTTTTTTTATTATTTTTAAAATGAAAACAGATAAATTATTTTTATTAGTATGGAAAAATTTATATTTAAGATCATTAATATTTCAAAAAATTAAAGATCATAATGAATATATTAAGAGTTTAAGGTTTAGGAGTGCAGAATTTAACCATATTCAAGAAATAGCAGTGTATCCATACAGAAACTATTTAAAAAAAGTCAGCATTGCAAATAAAATACAAATAAATGTTGATCTGGAATCAATTATTCCAAGAAATGTCGAATCGTTAACTCTACATCAAAGAACTATTGAATTTAAAATTCCACATTGGATCAAATCGTTAACAATACCAAATCCCGTGACACCAATGCCTATAATACTTTCCAATATTTCAAGTTTAGAAACACTTAAAATTAGTCGAGAAAAAACAGTAGCTTCCAAAATTACAGGTTCAATAGATAATCTCAAAGCTGGTGATTTACCAAACACATTAAAAAAACTAGAGGTTGGATTGAATCATTTTCATATAAAAGATGATTTACCAAATGGTTTGGAAACTCTAATATTGGGATATTGTAACGGATTTAGAATTGGCACTTTACCATCCAGTTTAAAGGAGCTTTATATTAACACCACAGTTACAATGGTACCTGTTGGCTACAATACCAAATATTTATCAACACCAGGTTCTCTACCAAATAGCATTCACTCTTTAAAAATAGCAAATTATGGTCAAACCAATATCATTTATCCAGAATCACTTAGAAATAATTACTAAGGATTTAAATTTCAATTTCCCACAAAATCTAGAATCACTTACACTCAGAGAATACCCAAGAACCTCTATTATAAATATATATATAGTTTTCCATGTGAATTTGAAATAACAAAATGTAGATGTTGAAAAAATTACAACCTTTATAAAAAGAATGCTAAAATAAAGTGCATTTTGCACAACTAAGTGGTGTGACCAACTAGTTGAGATAAAATATATTTGGAAATTTCAAAAATATATTTTATCTCAACTCCTACTTTATATGTTCAAACCTAATGGGGTACTTATACTACATTGTTAATTAATTTACTTTTAAATATTTTTAAAGTTTTTGGTTATAATTATGGTGATCGTCCAAGACCCATTTTTTATTTTTTACCCATATTTCCCACGTCTTGGTCCTAAGCATCATCACCATCATCAGCATCCTCACCGGCATTCTTTTTGGTCCTCAGCATTATCTTCATTAGCAGCATACATCAGTAGCATTTATCAGCAGAATTCATCGTCAGCATTCATCTTGGTCCTCAGCATTATCATCATCAGCATTCATCCTGGTCCTCATCAGCATCCTCACCGGCATTCGTTTTGGTCCTCATCATCATTAGCATCCTCACCGGCATTCATCTTGGTCCTCAGCATTACAGTGCCCGAGGAAAATATGTAGACCCCCTGATATTTTTATATATGTGTTATAAATTGATTAGTTTGGATAGTTTTTTTTAATAAATATTGACACAGCCTAAAAATAATAAATAATGGTAATAAAAAAAAGTGTGGGAAATATGGGTAAAAAATAAAAAATTAAAAAAATAAATTTAAATTTTTATCTCTTTTTTTTAATTTTTGAAATTTTAAAATTTTTTTTATATCATTTTAAATTTTTACAAACTGAAAATAGTGCAAAAATAATTTCTAGAAAATAAACAAAATGAGGTTAGGTGATGAACTTCGATACTCAATATTTCTATTAAGGGCACTGTAATAGAAAATTTTTTAAAAAAAATAATTATTAAAATAAATAGTATACCTCTTAGACTTTTAATTTTGAGGATTATTATAAAAATATAGAAAAAAACCAAAACTCCTAAAAAACTATTTTTAAGGTCAAGAATATAGTTTTGTAGTTTTAAATTTTTAATATTATTCACATTATTATTCATATTATTATTTGGTAATGAGTTATTATATTGAAAACTATTTATTTTATTTTTGTTATATTTCATAATGTTTGGTTGAGAGTAAATATATTGTGAGTTATCAATTTGATTATAATTATTATTCATATTACTATTTTTATTATAGTTCATATGATTGTTATTATTCATATTTATATTCATATTCATATTCATTTGATTGTTATCGCAATTCATATTGTTTGGTTGTGGGTTATTATTATGAATTATTCATTTGATTGTTGTTATTATTCATATTATTACTATTGTTATTATAATTGATATGATTGTTATTATTATTATTATTATTATTCATATTCATATTCATCATATTCATATTCATATTCATATTATTATTATAATCCCAATGAATGTTATTATTATTCAAATTACTGTAATTAATATTATTATTCATATTATTATTCATATTATTATCCATATAATAATTGTCTGTATTTTTATTATCCACATATATAATTTTTTGTTATTTAAAAATTATAATGAAACTTATTTTTTTAAATGTTCTCACATAAAAATAATCAAAAATAGTGTAAATTCTTAGGTATTTGGGACTGAAATTAAAGAAAAAACGGCGATTCCATCTTTTTTTTCAAAATAGATTTTTGAGCATTTTTTAAAATTTTTTTTTTTTTTTTTTATAATAAAAATATTTTTATAAAAATAAAAAACTTTTTTTTTTAAACATAATCATTTAAAAAATAAATCTTTTTTATTTAGTTTTTTTAGTTTAGATATCTTAAAGAAGTGGTTCGTTAGAATCATTATTTTCTTTTTCCTCATTATTGAAGATGGTGTTATTGATAATACTATTTGATTGGTTGATTCTATAATTAATATTTTGTAAATGGTCAATAGTTTTTTGTAGATTGAGGATTGGTGGTTTTGGACGAGTGTTACTATCTGGTTTGAAGCATTTTTTAAAAAGACCTACACTTAAAGTAATGAGGATTAAATTTAAAGCAAAAGAAATAAAAAATGAAATTGAACCAAATTCTAGATTTGCTTGAGAATAAAAAGGACCATCTCCATTGAAAATTAAAGGAATAAAAAACATCACCATATCGTGGAGTGGTATTTTTACACCATCTTGACGAACAAAGGCAGAGATAAAAACTATAACATCGGATATTACAGAAATAAGCATGGGGATAACCAATAAATTGAATGAGATGGAGTTTAATAGTTTCGTATAGAACTTTAATGTAATAGCCACAATATTAATTACTGAAAATATAATACCGGAAATAATAAAAAACAAAACAATACCAGATGGATAGGTTTTAAAAATGAAATCTGGAATATCAATATTTAAAAATCTTTGACGTGGTACATATAATACTGACCAAACAGCTATTTTTTGGTTTTAAATAATAAAAATTAGTTCATGAATAAATAATTGTTTGTAAAATAAATAAAAAAAATAAAAATAAAAACTTACCCTCGCTACTTATAATCTTCATTATTGAGATTGTGAATGAAATTAAAAATAAAAATACTTTACTTTTTGGACTTATATTACTTTCATCATTGCTATCAGAGTTATTATCGGATTGAATTTGGTTAGACTGAAAAAGTTCATAGTTGTTGTTGTTGTTGGTATTGTTATTTCTATTAAATGATTCTTCTTGGGATTGTTTGAGTTCACTTTTGATAACTAAAAATGTTAAAATAATGAGGAAAATGCTGAAAATGGTACTGATGATAAATAAAAGGGTGCCGCTCCAAATCATGGATTTTTCACCTCCAGCAAAATAAAATTCCAAGTAAGAACCATTGATATTTATCTCTTTTGATGAAAATAAACCAATAGATATAACAATAATATCGAGAACTATGGTAAGAACTAAAGGTGCTATAATTGTATAGGGCGATGATATTGGAAACTTTTTACAAACGATTAATATTAAACCGATGAAATATAAGAATGATAAAATTATTCCAAAAACAATTAAAGTTAAAGCCAAATCTGATGGAAAAGTTGGGAACGGGATAGTAAGTGAATAATAGATTGCCCAAGTATCTATTAAATTATTTAATTAGTAATTTATAAAAATTTATACTTAAAATAAATAATAATGTAAATAACTTACTTTTAATACTTGATATTTTGCAGATTATAATAAAAATTGAGAAAAAAGCCAATACAAAAAAAAAGTTATTTTTTAATTGTGAAAAAATAATTGATAGTTTTAAAAAATAGTTATTTTTTCCATAGTAATTATTACTACCATAATTATAGCTATTATCCATGTTTATATAATTATTATTCCCATTATTATTATAATTATTATAGCTATTATTATAACAATGATTATTGTATCTATGATTATTATTATAGTTATTATAATTATTATTATTATAACTATTATGGTTGTTCATTGTGTTTACACTATGATTATAGTTATTTTCATTAATACTACTGTTGTTATATTTGTATATCATAGTGTTGTGGGGTTTAAAACCACTATTGTTGCTGTATTGTGAATTATTAATTTGAAAATTATTCATATTATTATTACAATTATTATTGCTATTATTCATATTATTCATATTATTTTTATTATTATTAATATTCATATTATTATTCATATAATTATTATTATTCATATTATTATTCATAATATTTTCATCCATATTATTGTTGTCTGTATTATTGCTCTCCATGTTTTTATTATTTGTGTAAAAATAATAATGAAACTTTTTTTTAAGAGAAATTTTCTCACATAAAAATAATCGTAAATTCTTTGGTATTTAGGATTGGTTTTTTTTTTCAAATTATCAGTTTTTTTTATGCAATTTATAATTTTTTTGAAACATTTGCACAACATATTCCCAAAAAAATAAAAAAAAATATTTTTTTAAAAAATTTAATTTTTTTTTTTTTTTTGTTTTTTTTTAAAAATATAGGATGATAAAATGATTCCTAAAACAATTAAAACTAAAAGAGAATCTGATGGAAAAGTTGGGGATGGAATAGGAATTGAAACTCCACATAAATATATTCCCAGGTATCTATTTAATTTTAATTTATATATATATGCATTAAATAAATAAAAATCAATAAAAAAAATTTAAAGATAGTTTTACAACTTTTTTTTATTAATTAGTTTAGACTTTGATCTTCGTCATAACTGGGAACGAATGGATCTTGGGCCTCTTTAATAAGAAGTGGTGATTTTAAATCACCAGAAACAGGGTTTTCGGTTAAAACTTCACTATCTATTATGTTATTATTATCTATTGGTTTATGGTGGGTTTTTAGTTGATTTATGTAGTTTTGTAAACCATCGATTGTTTCTTGAAGATAAATATTTTTTTGTTCGTCATAGTTATTATTACCTTTATAACTATTTAATTGTTGTATATATATATTTAATTGTTGTAGGTATTGTTTTTCTGAATCTGATAATGGCACTTTAACAGCTACATTTTTGGTGTCCATTTTAATTGGTTTATATTTATTGTAATATGAGAAACAATCTTCAAAAAGACCTTCACTTAAAGCGATTAAAGCAATGTTCAAACCCATACCAACAAAAAATGAAAAGGCACCAGAATACAAAAAACATTCCCCTTCATCCAAACCAACACAAGCTAAAGTATACCAAATTCTTTCACCATATGGATATGTACCAAATCTTTGATAGAGTTCGAGTGTAAAAGAGGAGATTAGAATAGCAATATCAACTACCAAGCTTCCAATAAGAAGAGCTAAAACTGATGTGATTGGGAATGATTTGTTTAATTTTTTAAAGAAACTTAATGATATACCAATAATATACACAAATGTTAAAACCGCACTGAATATAATTAAAGCTAAAGTGGCACCACTTGGACTGCTTTCAAATTTAACGGAATTCCACGATTGAAGGATATGTGCCCATTTAGCTAAAATTAAATTAAATATTAATATTAATTCTATTTTTTTTATGTTCAAATAATAAATTTTATTAATTTAAATACTTTACCTTTAGAACTGAAAATTTTGAGAATTAATATAATTATTGAAAATACTAATAAAATAAAAAAACTAATATTTTTGTTTAATTTGTTTTGAAGTACTTTGAGTGGAGTATGAATTTTGAATTTCATAAAGGTTAAAATAAACAAAAGAATGTTTAAGGAGCCACCAACAAAATAGAAAAGGGAGCCTGCCGAAATTTTACTATAGTATATATATAAGTAATAATAATCGAACTCATGATAACCAGAATGAATAATAGTTACAAGATCAAGTATAGTAATTGCAACTAAAAGAACTAAATTGACTAAAACAAATAAACGGGATACTCTTAGCAATTTAAAATATAAAAGTGAGAGTCCAACCATATATAATATTATTAATATGATACCAATTATAACCATAATCAATAAGGATTGGAACTGACTCCGTGTTATAAATATAGGTGAATTCGACCATGGAACTATAAATATAAAAATAAAAAAAATAAACAATTAAATTATTTATAAAAATTTTTAAAATAAAAAGTTACTATACTTACAAATAATACTTAAAAATTTGCAAATTAAAATAAAACTTGAAAAAAAAAGTAAAATTGGATAACTCTCTTTTGTAGTTTTATTATTCTTATTTAAGATATTATTTGTTGGTTTTGTTTGATAACTATTGTTTCTAAATTGGTTGTTATTATATTGATGTTGTTGTGGTTGCTGGAAATTATTTTGGCAATTTGTATTATTATTATTATGGTTTATTTTGTTATTCATATAATTATTATTCGAACCATTTATATTATTATAGCTATTATGATTCATATTATAATTCATATTGCTATTCACATTACTATTATAATTATTTTGATCATGAAACTGATTTTGATTTTGGTGTATCATTTTTAATACACTGATGTTATTATTGGTTATTGAATAATTTTATTATTTTATTTTCGTGATTTTGGTTAAAAAAAAAAAAAAAAAAAAAAAAAAAAAATTTTCTTGATATTCAAGGATAACCTTCGAAAATTAAAAAAATAAAAAAAATTATAAATATATATTAATATTAAAATAAAATATTATTATTAAATAATATTTTAAATTGTTATTCATTGATTATTATATTAAATTGGGAGAATATATCCCAAACAAAATTAAATAAATTGAATATTATATTTATTTTTTTTATTATTTTTTTTTTCATAAATTTTAATAATTTTTATTCAATTTTGAAATAAAATTATTAGCTCGCCAATATATAATAATATCTGTAAGTTTTAATATATCTCTATTTTCCATAAATATTTTTTTTTAATAATTTTTTTTTTTTTTCTTTATTATTTCCTAAAAATGAAAATTTTTTTTTTTTTTTTTTTTATTATTTTTAAAATGAATACAGATAAATTATTTTTATTAGTATGGAGAAATTTATATTTAAGATCATTAATATTTCAAAAAATTAAAGATCATAATGAATATATTAAGAGTTTAAGGTTTAGGAGTGCAGAATTTAACGATATTCAAGAAATAGCAGTGTATCCATACAGAAACTATTTAAAAAAAGTCAGCATTTTATTTGCAAATAAAATACAAATCAATGTTGATCTGGAAACAATTATTCCAAGAAATGTCGAATGGTTAACTCTACATCAAAGAACTATTGAATTTAAAATTCCACATTGGATCAAATCGTTAACAATACCAAATCCCGTGACACCAATGCCTATAATACTTTCCAATATTTCAAGTTTAGAAACACTTAAAATTAGTCGAGAAAAAACAGTAGCTTCCAAAATTACAGGTTCAATGGATAATCTCAAAGCTGGTGATTTACCAAACACATTAAAAAAACTAGAGGTTGGATTGAATCATTTTCATATAAAAGATGATTTACCAAATGGTTTGGAAACTCTAATATTGGGATATTGTAACGGATTTAGAATTGGCACTTTACCATCCAGTTTAAAGGAGCTTTATATTAACACCACAGTTACAATGTTACCTGTTGGCTACAATACCAAATATTTATCAACACCAGGTTCTCTACCAAATAGCATTCACTCTTTAAAAATAGCAAATTATGGTCAAACCAATATCATTTATCCAGAATCACTTAGAAATAATTACTAAGGATTTAAATTTCAATTTCCCACAAAATCTAGAATCACTTACACTCAGAGAATACCCAAGAACCTCTATTATAAATATGATACCAATGGGTCTCAAATCACTTCATGTAAGATTCTATAGTTTTGAAAAAGGGTTACTCCGATCAATTTTAACTCTTGAACGTTTGAAAATTATAGATTTTGAGGATCAGACACTAGAACCAAATAGCCTTCCCCCAAACCTCAAATATACAGCCATAAAATTAATAGCGAATCAATTCCACAAAACTTAGAATTAATTAAAATCAAAAACCATCATTATAAACACCCAACTAATCATTTAAAAATAATTGTTGATATTAAATCATTAAAAACATCAAACACATACTCTAGCTTCCCCATAAAAAAGATTCCACTCAATAATCCTCAATAAACTTCATAAATGAATTTTGTAAGTGCTGTATGTCTTACCTTTTAGTTTTTATACACTACTGCTGTAAAAGACCATAATTTTTTTCCAACATCGATAATGTTCCATAGTTTTCCATGTGAATTTGAAATAACAAAATGTAGATGTTGAAAAAATTACAACCTTTATAAAAAGAATGCTAAAATAAAGTGCATTTTGCACAACTAAGTGGTGTGACCAACTAGTTGAGATAAAATATATTTGGAAATTTCAAAAATATATTTTATCTCAACTCCTACTTTATATGTTCAAACCTAATGGGGTACTTATACTACATTGTTAATTAATTTACTTTTAAATATTTTTAAAGTTTTTGGTTATAATTATGGTGATCGTCCAAGACCCAAAACTTGAAATATCCATATTCGATTATTTTGGCCTACAATTAGCAATTTTTTAATATAATCATATTCGGGGATGTAGCTTTTGCTTTTTAAAAATATATTGGAATGTTTATTCCATTTTATTATTTTATTAATTATAAGACCTAAGTATCTGAATTGACCAGATATTACTTGAAGCATAATTAAACCGTTGCAATTTTGGTTGAATAAATTGAATTATTCTGAGGTAACTTAATTTATTATTGCAAGAATAATAAATTTCCGGAGATCCAACTTTCTTTTAAGGTGGTGTTACTTCATAAAAGATGCCCGCATCTTAGCTAATAGAATATGAATTAAACATTACAGCCCTTGGCAGTTTAGCATATCTTGTACGGAGAACCTTGGGTTAGTGTTTCCTTGCAAAGGAAACCTTCTATCCAGTTAAATAGCACGTATACAGCTCGGTATAACTTTAGTGCATTGGCGTAGAGTCTTGTTAATCCTTTCGGTTGACTATGGATATGTACAGATGCCATATATATCTTTTATTTAGAATAAAATGATATATTGTTTTAAAAAAAAAAAAAATGAAAAAAGAAAAATGAAAAATAAAAAAAAAGAAAAATAAGTGGTAATAAATAAATGTGAACATTCGTTTTCGAATGAATCATTTATTGGTGGTAAATAAAGTGGTAGGTTTAATTTTTGGTAGATAACAGTGGTAGGGTCTGATGAATTTAAGGTATAATTTCATCATCTAATTTAATGGTAAAAATGTTAGTAACATTGCATTAAAATCAACATAAAGTGGTATACTATTTGGTTGTAAGCCAAATGGTTCTGGAATTGTGAATTTTGGTTTTAATATTCCTTTTTCGATGTTGATTTTAAAAAAGTTTTGTTTGGATGATTTTTTAGGAAAATATTTCTTGTCAAATCATTTGTGAATGTTGTGGTAGTATTATCTTTGGTTCTGTTTACCTTAGATGCACAGTGTAGTTTTAGATTATACTGGTTATGTTGTGATGAGGTGTAGTTTTTGTTTCAAAAAAAAAGAATTTATTCATTATTATTAATAATATTTTTTAAAAAAATTTTTTTGAAAATTTGTGTTTAACTTATATGATGATTTTGGATGGTAATTTTTGTTTTAATAGTTCTGGTTTTTTAGTATGTTAAAAGTGTTATTTAGGTGACCAGACTTATTAAATTTAGGAATACATTTTAGGTATTCTGGATAAGTATTTTAAAGAGTATTTAGTGAATAAAATGGATTTTGAGCAGAATGTTGATTATTTTGTAGTGGAATAATGCAATTATTAGTATCCAAGTTATCATCACCATTATTTTGATTATTATTTTTTTAAATTTTGTTTGTGAATAAATAAATAAAAGAGATACACCGATCAACTAGTGAGATCTCAATTAGATTTCGTCTACTTAAAAAAGTTTTAAAAAATCAAAGAAAATTTTGGATTTATTTAAAACAGTTAATGAAAGTGTATGTGGTGATATATGTAGATTATATAAAAATCAACAAAAGTGTGTAAAAATAAAATGAATTGTATAAAAAGTAGTAAATATCATTAAAAAAATGAATGATGTTGTAATTAGTGGTAATTAATTATAGTTAAAGATATAGTAATAATAACTATAATAAAAAAGTGTTGATACACTAGTGGTATGTAAATTTTGTGTATATTCGGGGATGTAGCTCAGATGGTAGAGCGCTCGCTTAGCATGCGAGAGGTAAAGGGATCGATACCCTTCTTCTCCAATCTAGATTTATTTTTAACCAGATCTTCTAGGTGTTTTTATTTTTTTTTTACCCAACTGGCTCCAAGTTGCAGCTCCAGGATCGAATCCCAGTTTCCCAGTCACACAGAATTTGTATTGATTGATTGTGGTAATGTTGTTATCAATTTCTTTATCAGTGGAGACCCTTGACATATCTTCATTGATAAATTGATTTTGTTGTTAGGATGATTTTATGGAGGGACTGCATATTTATTCAGATTTGAATTACATAATAATAGTAAATATCAACAATCCCTAACTTTATTAAGATGGAAATGATAATTATTGAATTAATAGGTCATAGTAAAATCATATTTTATATTTATATAAAAACCCCTAAAATAAATCATATTTCAAGATATTGGTTTATTTACTAAAAACTAAAAAAAAAAAAATATTGTCACAATTATTTATTCCGTTTTTTCAATATTAAAAATTTTATTTGTATTTTTTTACAATTAGATAATTATTAATTAATATTTAGTATATCCTCCACGTGTTTTATATATTTCATCGATTCTTTCAGGCAGTGATTCATAAATGATTCTATGGTTATTATCAAATTGTTGGAACTTTACTTATTCCATAAACATATGATTTTTCAATTGTTCCACAATAAAATTTAAATGCACAACTTCATAAAAAATCATTTTCTTCTATTATGTCTAATCAATGGGAGTTTCTTTATATATTAATTATATCTCTTTAATTTCATTCTTACTGATTTAAAATTGTTAAATTTACCATTTATAAATTGAAACATAAAACATGTTCATCACCTTCGTCAAACTTTTTTTTCCTGGAACATTCATTGATTGTCAACGTACCAATATATGAAATAACTTGAAGACACTGCAATAAAAACAGGATAAAGTATACAGCGAGTACGATTATAAAATACGTCCTCAAAACGAACCATTTAGGTGTTAAAGATATTTCGATTTCTATTTTGATAGAACACCTACATACAAAAACATGCATTCAATCATTTTTCATCAAGTTTGGAACTGGGTATGCAAAAAATTATTCAAAGAGATTGATCCAAATGTAATTCAAAAATCAATATTGATCATTTATGTTGATTGTAATCAATATTGATTTTTGGATCAAACTTGCCTTCCCTGTATGCCAAAACAACCAATTAAATCATAATAGCTATTTGTAAGTCGATAAACAAATAAATGCAAAACAAATCCATTCAATGAAATAAAAAATATCCAATTTTAATAAATTAATCAACTTCCCAAACAAGTTTTATAATACAACATGTATAAAGATACTTATAAATTCATAAGCCATTAAAATCACTTAAATTTTAATAAATAAAATACACTGATAATATAAATTATCATAGAAAGATTTTTAAAAAAAAAAATAATAGATAACAAAAATTAATAATAATTACCAAAAAAAAAAATTTAAAAAAAAAATATTTATTTTATTAAAAATTAAAAAATTAAAAAATTAAAAAATTTTTATTTTTCAAATTATTTAAAAATTTGTAAAACAGGTAAAACATTAACAATTTTATTTTTTTTTTTTCTTGTGACCATATTAAGTCTCGTTGGTAAAGGGTAATAAGAAGAAGAAAATAATATATTCAAAAAGGTAAGAGTTGTTGGTATTGTACTCTCATTGATAATACCTGCATACATTAGCCAATAGCACATGTGCAGCGTTCTTAGCAAAGGGTGAATGATAGATTAGTGTTCGAATACAGGTTAAAGAACTATCAGACTGTAGCATTTCAGTACACAATACATAACGCAGATGAACACTTGTATTAAACAAGGAATACATTTCAAAATTAGATTGGAAGTCTTTGTTATTACATCTAGACGATCGATCATCATCATACAGCGTTTAGGGCAGGTGGTAAAATATATCAATTCACTAGAGCACCATTTGGCTTGACGAACTATCCAGCTTATTTTAACAAGTTTGCTCAAATAGTTTTAGAAGGGTTCGAAAAGTTTTTTAGCTTTATACGTAGATGATAATGTTTAATTATTCAGATACAGCGGAAGAACATATGGAACATATCATGGTATTGGATAGATGCAAGGTCTATTTAAACAGCAAGAAATGCAAATTCTTTTGTGTTAAGTCATATATATTTTTTTTTTATATTTTTTTTTGAACTCAATTTAAAAATTTTAATATTCTAAACTGTTGATATTTGGTAATATTTGATTGGTATTTAGTCAATGTATACAAAAACACCTAGAAGATAGGGTAAAAATAAAGTAATTGGAGAAGAAGGGTATCGATCCCTTTACCTCTCGCATGCTAAGCGAGCGCTCTACCATCTGAGCTACATCCCCGAATATACACAAAATTTACATACCACCAGTGTATCAACACTTTTTTATTATAGTTATTATTACTATATCTTTAACTATAATTAATTACCACTAATTACAACATCATTCATTTTTTTAATGATATTTACTACTTTTTATACAATTCATTTTATTTTTACACACTTTTGTTGATTTTTATATAATCTACATATATCACCACATACACTTTCATTAACTGTTTTAAATAAATCCAAAATTTTCTTTGATTTTTTAAAACTTTTTTAAGTAGACGAAATCTAATTGAGATCTCACTAGTTGATCGGTGTATCTCTTTTATTTATTCTTTCACAAACAAATTTTAAAAAAATAATAATCAAAATAATGGTGATGATAACTTGGATACTAATAATTGCATTATTCCACTACAAAATAATCAACATTCTGCTCAAAATCCATTTTATTCACTAAATACTCTTTAAAATACTTATCCAGAATACTTAAAATGTATTCCAAAATTTAATAAGTCTGGTCACCTAAATAACACTTTTATCATACTAAAAAACCAGAACTATTAAATAAAAAATTACCATCCAAAATTATCATATAAATTAAACACAAATTTTCAAAAAAAATTTTTAAAAAATATTATTAATAATAATGAATAAATTCTTTTTTTTGAAACAAAAACTACACCACATCACAACATAACCAGTATAATCTAAAACTACACTGGTGCATCTAAGGTAAACAGAACCAAAGATAATACTACCACAACATTTACAAATGATTTGACAAGAAATACTTTCCTAAAAAATCATCCATACAAAACATTATTAAAATCAATATCGAAAAAGGAATATTAGAACCAAAATTCACAATTCCAGAACCATTTGGCTTACAACCAAATAGTATACCACTTTATGTTGATTTTAATGCAATGTTACTAACATTTTTACCATTAAATTAGATGATGAAATTATACCTTAAATTCATCAGACCCTACCACTATTATCTACCAAAAATTAAACCTACCACTTTATTTACCACCAATAAATGATTCATTCGAAAACGAATGTTCACATTTATTTATTACCACTTTATTTTTCTTTTTTTTTTTATTTTTCATTTTTCTTTTTTCTTTTTTTTTTTTTTAAAACAATATATCATTTTATTCTAAATAAAAGATATATATGGCATCTGTACATATCCATAGTCAACCGAAAGGATTAACAAGACTCTACGCCAATGCACTAAAGTTATACCGAGCTGTATACGTGCTACTTAACTGGATAGAAGGTTTCCTTTGCAAGGAAACACTAACCCAAGGTTCTCCGTACAAGATGAAACTTATGCAATGCTAAACTGCCAAGGGCTGTAATGTTTAATTCATATTCTATTAGCTAAGATGCGGGCATCTTTTATGAAGTAACACCACCTTAAAAGAAAGTTGGATCTCCGGAAATTTATTATTCTTGCAATAATAAATTAAGTTACCTCAGAATAATTCAATTTATTCAACCAAATTGCAACGGTTTAATTTTGCTTCAAGTAATATCTGGTCAATTCAGATACTTAGGTCTTATAATTAATAAAATAATAAAATGGAATAAACATTCCAATATATTTTTAAAAAGCAAAAAAAGTAAAAAGCAAAAAGCTACATCCCCGAATAAGATTATATTAAAAAAAATTATGATCCTAGTCCAAAAAATCGAATATGGATATTTAAGAATGATTATTTGAATAAGTACATTTTATAATAAAGGATTATTAGAATAAATGATTATGTTAATATATTTGGTGAAGGTATTAAAGTTTAAAATTATGGCGCGATAAATTTTAATTATATTTCCATATTAAAGTTAGTTGTAAATAGTGGTAAATAGTTGTTAATAGTTGTTAAATAATTGTTAAATATTAAAGTTTTTAAATAAACATTAGAAAAGGTATATTTAAGTACTTTTTAGGTATCTTAATTTATTCAAGTAATTTAGTGTTAATTAGTTAATGTGTATTAATGTATTTTATTGTGTCTCTGTAAGAATATAATTTGTGTTCAGTATATTTTCGTTAAGCATTTTTAGTTATGTAACTTTGTCATTTTCGTATACCTTATCATTACATATCAAAAAGTTTGCTGCTTTTACACCAAATAAAATTTAGGATTTAAAAATAATCATATTTAAACTACTAAAATTTTTTCTAAAAATAAATTAATAAAAGTCGTGTTAACCTTTGCACCATTCTTATTGAAGGTGTAAGTCAAAAATTCGTGGTTAGCAATTAATACAAAAAGACCAAAAAAATTTTCGACAGTGAAGATATGGAACTCAGGTACTTTTAAAGTGAAAATACCGAGTACTTCTGGAAAACTATAGATCATTATCAATTAATAACAAATATCATAAAAATAAAATATCAAAAATAAAAATTTAAAAACAAAGATTAAATCAACTGAATGTATCAGGTACAATCAAAGTAGATCAACATTCAATTTAAATTTAGATAGCAACAATTGAAACGAAGTATTAAACTACTATACATCATAACCAGCCAACTTTGATCATATAATGGTAATATATGCAACTATACAATGTAATACTGGTATTTGTAAATACCCCAAAAACTGGGCCTGTTTTATTCCAATTCACCTTGAGAAAATGGTTGTGTTTAAAAGCTATATGCACAATTCTAAAAAATTATCAAGTTTCACTTTGAATAGACAATACTAATTATAATTTTTTTTTTTAAAAGTGAAGATAATTAAAAGCAAATGCTTTAAATTAATAAGTAAAATTTTGTAATTAATTAAGTGAATTTTGATGATAATACATTACACTGTATACAAATAGGACACACATCAATGAAATTCGTTGGACCACTTTTTTTTTTTTTTTTTAAAAGTGAAGATGATTCTTAATGATGTATTAAGTCATCAGTTTATTGTGTTTTTTGTTTGGTATGTGTTTAATTCTTATATGAGTTTTACCATACTGCATACAAGTTGGGCACGGTAACGTCAATTCGTGTGTGATTCGGAAAATCTGCTGAGACTAGGTTTCGAACCCGGAGCGGTAACTTGTAGGAATTTCGACCACTTGGCTATCATTGCTCCCCCCATATGTGATAAAATCACAAGAAAGATGAAAATAAAAATAAAAATGCCGCGACCTGGAATCGAACCAGGGTCAAAGCAGCCACAATGCTATGTACTACCACTATACTATCACGGCAATTTGATGAAAATTTTTGTAGTATATGACCCCCATAAGGTTTGAACATATAAAGTAGGAGTTCAAATTAATAGTATAAATTAAGAAATTTCCCTTTTGCTAAGTTGGTCACCTCACGCCTTATTTGTGCATAGTGCACTTTATTACATTTTGTAGTATAACTGCCCCGCCGGACGACCCCTATTTATACTGTTCTCTATCGCCATAATCGCGCCATCATTCCACGTGCACCACAGCCAGATATTTATCAAGATAATTATTAATTCAAAGAATCCTTTATTATAGATATTTATTTATCCAAGATATCTTTTATTATAATAGATATTTATTTATTCAAAGAATCATATAATAATCATTTTTAACCGACTATTTTATAAACAGTATAAATAGCTTAAATTCATAATCATTTTTCTTGAGAGGTTTATTTTCATTACTTAATAAAATATAATTTACTACTTTTTATATCTAATATTTACTTTTGTATTTAGTTTACTTTATATTTATATTTAATCACTTTTACTACTATAGTACATTTATAACATTTTGGCGACAGCTCATTAGAATCTGCTTTGCATTTTATTTTTTTTTTAGGGGAAGAGATATAGGTTATTATATCAATATTAATTTTTAGTTATTTGTTTCGTGATTAAGATATTTTATTTGTTTATTTAAATTAGATAAGTTTGTGTTAACCCCAGTTTTATTTATAATATTTTAGTAATAATAATAGTAGTTTTATTCTTAATTTTTAATTTGTTTTAATAGTTTTTAGAAGTGTGCCAAACCTCCACACTTAATATTTTACAATGGATAATCCAATAAATAATAATAATAATAATAATAATAATAATAATAATAATAATAATAATAATAATAATAATAATAATAATAATAATAATAATAATGTTCGAGTTACAACAGAAACCACGAATTCCATCCCAAAACCTACTGGAATTATTCCTCCATCACAAAAGAAAGCTGCTGCTACACCTCCAGCTGCCACTAGAGTCGTTAGCAGAAACCCAATAGGCACTAGTACTAATTTATTAACAAATCTTAAGTTAAAGGAACAAGAACTTAAGATGATGGAATTAATGAATAACCAAATGCAAATTTTGAAGGAATTAAGTTTCCAACCACACCGTGTCCCATTCCCAGAAGAATCAAAATTTGATGGAACCAACAGAGCCGAGTTTGACAAAAATTGGGATTTGTTTGAATTCTTATTCAGACATCATTTTGTCAGACCAACCAGTGCTAATTTACTTTCAAGTCTTCGTGGCAGTGCTATCGATAGGTTAAGAACTATTGATCCACTTAATACCAAATCGGTTGAAGAAAATATTATGGCCTTAAGAACCTACTATCAGGATAGCCCTAGCATCGTTCTTGATAGATTTTCTACTTACTCCAGAGAAAACAAATTCAAGTCACTTGAAACCCTGTTACTTGTATTTGACATAGTTAAAAGAAGGAGTCAACTACCTGATGACGCCGCTATTTCTTTCTTAGGTCAGGCACTTGGTTGTAACTTGAAAGAATATTTAAGCTTAAGATGCAGAAAAGGCATCACCTACGACGAATACCTCGACGAAGTTAGACATCTGGAAATTGCGTATACCGAATCCAAGGGTACATCGCTTTACTTAATCAAGGAACCAATCAATGGAATATTTGGTGATTACAAGTCTCCTAACTTCTCTTTATCCAATGCTAACAATCCAACCTTTAATGTTGCTGGTGTAAGCGAGGGTATTCAAAACAAGTCCGTTGTGTGCTATAGTTGCGGACTAAAAGGACACTATAGCAATGAATGTCGTAATAAAGATAAGTATCCACAAAGAAATAATAATAATTTTAATAATAATAATCACATAAATAATAATAATTATAGAAATAACAATAACCATAGACATAACAACAATAAAATTATAGAAATAATTATAATAATAATAATAATCGTTCAGATAGAAATAATAATAATAATCGAGGATCAGGTCAAAATAATAATAATCGTAATAATAATAATTATAATAATCATAGAAATAATAGATTTGTTAATAATATTCAAAATTTTGATGACGAAACTAATGATAATATTAATAATGGATATTTAGGTAGTGATGTAGATGTTCAGCCTATCAACACTATTACTAGTGTTGCTGGAGATAATAATGTGTGTGCTAACCTTAAGATCAACAACAAAGGTGTCAGAGTCCTTGTAGATACTGGAGCTAGTATATCTTGTATTAGAGAATCACTTGCAAAAACCCTCAATCTTTCAATTAATCCCAGTAAAACCATGATCAAATCTGCAAGTAATCATAGGCTTCTTCCTGTTGGTAAAACTCTCTGCACTCTTTCGTTTGGTCCTGTTTCCGAACAAGTTGAATTCGAAGTCTTTAAGGATACTGATATTTCTATGTCATATATTGTTGGTTTAAACGGTCTTAGAGCTATTTGTGCGGATCCTATTATTTCAAAAGGTAAATTAATCTGTAGTAAAGCTGATTGCTACGTTCCTCTATACTCATACACTGAACCCGTTACCACATTTAACACCAATTCTACCCCCATTCCACCCAATTCAACCCCAGATAACGTTCTCACTTATCAGACTTTAATGCTTGAATCTGATAATGATTGTTTTAGAATTAATACCATTATGCCAATCGTTAGCTCCGAAAGCACATTATTATTACCATCACACGCTAGTTATCCTTCGTCATTAATTCAATCCTCCCTCGATTCCGGTACATTATCAATAATATCAACCAATCATAACAATAATAATAATAACATCAACCTTCATAATAATAATAATATCAACCCTCATAATATCACCACCAATATTAATAGTAATAACCCCAATCCAAAACCTGCATCTATCAACTTATTAGAACAATTAGTAACCAGTCAAGATCATCCATCAACTCCAAAACCAGTCACTCAACCTCCAGTAATTACTCCACCTTTTCAATCCACTGAAGACGGATCAATTATCCTAACAATTGAACAGAAATCTAGACTAGAAAACTTAATGAAGGAGTATGCTGATATAATGCCAGAGAAATTAGAGCACGCAGGAAAAGCTCATGGTGTCGTTCACGAAATCCCTTTTATCGCTGGTACCAATGAAGAAAAGCTTCATCAAGAACCATATCCAACTTCACCAAAACAAAAAGAAATTATGGATGAAAAGATTGCCGAACAAATTGCCGCTGGTGTTCTAGTCCCGGTCGAATATGCTAAGATTTGCTCTCCGTGCCAAGTGGTTCAACAATTTGATCCAGTTACAAATACAGTTTCATGGAGATTCGTTGGTGATTTTCGTAAGGTAAATCAAGTTACTGAAAAGATGGGTACTCGTCTGCCCAAGCAAGATGAAATAAGGGCATCTCTCGCAAACAATATGGTTTTCTCTACTGTAGATTTATTCAAAGGTTATTATCAATTTCCAATTCATAAAAGTGATCAGTATAAAACCGTTATCGTCAACTATCGTGGATATTACATGTATTTGGCCATGCCATTCGGATTGTGTAACGCTCCTGCAACATTTCAAAATCATATGAACAAAATATTTGGGAAGTATCTTAGAAAATTTGTTATTGTTTATATCGACGACATTATCATTTTTAGTAAATCAATAGACGAACATTTCGATCACTTAGAATCAGTTTTTAAATGTATTAGACAATACAATCTTAAATTAAATATTAACAAATGTCGCTTTCTTAAAAGTAAAATTAAATTTCTAGGTCTTCTAGTCTCATTCAATGGTCTTTCCTACGATGTATTAAGGTTCAAACGATTTAAAGATATGCCACCACCAACTAATACGAAGGAATTGTCAAAACTTCTTGGTGCTTGGAATTACTTTAGAGACTTTATCCCTAATTATTCGTCGTTAGTAGCTGGATTCTACCAGTTATTAAAGAAAGGCAACCAATTCAACTGGACTAATGAATTAGAAGCCCAAAGAATCCATCTCTTAGAACTTTTATCCCAACCTCACTCACTTGCTTTGCCCAATGATTATGGTGAACTCACCATAGAAACGGATGCCTCAGGTATAGGTATCGCCGCCGTCCTTCTTCAAGATGGTAAACCTGTTTTGAACTTTAGTCAATTATTACCTCCTCGTGTTAAAGAAATTCCTACAATAGAAAGAGAGGCAAAAGCCGTTATCGCAAGTCTAATTTATTTTCACCCATACATTTATGGAAAAGAAGTCACAATTTTCACAGATCATAAACCTCTTGAAGCTGCTAACAAAATACCACAAACTAATAGAACTTTAATTAAATTATCTTACATTCTTACTGATTATAGGGCACAGATCGTTTACAAACCAGGTAAACTTAATTATTTAGCTGATGCTATGTCTAGATACCCAGATTTAGATCGTGAAGAGATACCAGACGATCAAGTTTATGTTAATGTGGTAAATAATATTCGCCTGTCACAAAACAATTTGGAAACTGCAAATTTTATTATTAACTCATTAGGTGCTGCTAGTGCATCTACAACAAATAGTACTAATGTGATCAAACCATTCATTTTTAGTAAACTTAAAATTATTTCAGAAATTAAAGCTGACCCTTTTTACGGCCCAATTTACTCGTATCTCGTCCAAGGTGAATTACCCTTTGATTCCGAAGAAGCTCGAAAGATTTTAATTGAAAGTGAATTCTATGATATAGTTGAAGATATCATGGTAAAAGGTTTTAAACATCCTTTATCAAAAAAGTCATCTGATTTGTCCAATTTACTTATCGTTATTCCAACATCTTTAAAACCAATTATCCTTCAAATCTTTCATGATGATACTTTTGCAGGTGGTCATTATGGTGTATTCAAGACCCTAGAAAAGCTTAAGGAAAGGTACTATTGGAACGGCATGAACAAGGATGTCGTTAGCTACATTGCCTCTTGTCCAACTTGTATTAGTGCTAAACGTCGTTTTGGTCCAATCCCTGGTTATCTTATGCCATTACCTTATGCCGAATACCCATTCCACACTGTCGGTATGGACTTTTTAACTGTCACTAGGAATTATGAAACTATTAATATTTTGGTAATTATCGATTATTTTACCAAATGGCCCGAAGCTTTTATTACTCCAGATCAGTCTGCTAAGAACGTTGCAATCATTACCGAAATCAATCACTTTTTCAGAGTTAGTAAAGTCTCAACTGCTGCTTATCATCCTCAAACTGATGGTGAAGCTGAAAAATTTAATTCAACTCTTTTACAATTGCTTAGATGCTACTGTGACGAAAATAATGTCCAAGACTTACCCTTAATGTTAAGCATTGTCCTATTCAACTATAGAATCACCCCTCATCCTTCAACTGGTTTCTCACCTTTTTACTTACTATTTGGCCGTTCTGCAACTACTCCTGTCGATATCCCTTTCAGAAATATTCAAACTGCTGGTGGTCCATCTATCGCTGTTGACATCGATCCCTCAAATTATGCCGCTGAACTCAAATCCAAATTCACACGTATTGCTCAGTTTGTCAGAAGAAACGTTCAACAAGCTAAAGAAAATCAAGCCAATTATTACAATCAATCCCGTGCTCAACCTGCCTTCAATGTTGGTGATTATGTCTTTGTCAGAATCCCTTTCGATAAAAACTCTCCAGTCCCAGACAAGCTTCGTAAACCATATGCTGGTCCTTATAAAATTATTGCTAAGGTCAACGACAATAATTTTACTATTCAAATGGATTCCAATCATCACCCAAATATCAACGTAGACCGTCTCAAGCCAGTACCACCAAACTTCTTAAACCGTGGGGAAAATGTAGTATAACTGCCCCGCCGGACGACCCCTATTTATACTGTTCTCTATCGCCATAATCGCGCCATCATTCCACGTGCACCACAGCCAGATATTTATCAAGATAATTATTAATTCAAAGAATCCTTTATTATAGATATTTATTTATCCAAGATATCTTTTATTATAATAGATATTTATTTATTCAAAGAATCATATAATAATCATTTTTAACCGACTATTTTATAAACAGTATAAATAGCTTAAATTCATAATCATTTTTCTTGAGAGGTTTATTTTCATTACTTAATAAAATATAATTTACTACTTTTTATATCTAATATTTACTTTTGTATTTAGTTTACTTTATATTTATATTTAATCACTTTTACTACTATAGTACATTTATAACAATTTTAAAATTAGATCCTCATTGTAGATTGATGTAATAATTACAAAATGACTAAATAAAATAGTTTCCTGTTTATACCAAAGTTCCTTTAAAAATGTCTTACAATTCATTCAGCATAATATATACCAATGATCATTACCTATTGCATTATATTCTTCATTTCATTAACTCCATCCACTAAATTTGTTTTTATAATTTGTTTTCTATAAAGTTTTCTTATCTTGTATATTATTTAAAAAAAATAATATAAAATATATTTTATTTAAATACAATATTATGAAGATACACTTATTTTTTTAAAAAAAAAAAAAATTTAGTTTTTTAAATAAGAAAATTAATTATTTTTTTTCAATTATAAAATCTAAAATAGAAAACATAAAAACTAGTATTTTTTCTTTTTTTTTTAATATTAATAAGTATGAAAAGAAGATTGAATATTTAATTTTTTTTTTAATATTAAATTTTATTTTTTTAAGATGAGATTAACTATTTTTTATGTTTTTAAGGTGAAGTGGTGTTATCAAAAAAAATTAATATATTTGGCTAAAAAAGATAATTTAATTTATACAATTTTATTTTGATTTATATTTATATTCATCTGAAAGTTTTATTCTTATTGTCTCTGGTTTGTAAGTTTCAATTTCAAATTGTAATTTGTTGACATAATCACCTGCAGAACTTTTTAATCATTAATTTCCACTTTTTTTTTATATTTGTTTTTTTTTTTTTCTGATTTGGTTATTTTTAGAATAAATAATATTATTTTATTATTATATTATTGTTTTTTTTTTTTAGATTTTATTTGTTTTATATAATTTAAATAAATAAAAAAAGTTTTCAATTTAATTAAAATGGAAATTCAAAAATAAAAATAATAATATAATTATTTTTATAACACACAATTAAAAATTATTTTTATTTATTTATTTTTTTTACACATCACATTGATTATTTATTTTATAAAATTTTTGAAAAATAATTGTATAAGATAGTATTTTATTTATTAAAATTTTAGAAAAAATAAAATTATTTTAAAAATTTTCAAAATTTAAAAATTTAAAAAAATAAAAATAAAAAAATTCTTGGTTTACGGTTTTATTATTACATAAAGAAAATACATATTTTTTTACCTATTTAACAAATTATTATTTGTTTTAATACTAATGACTTTAATATATCCTGTTGGCAAGGATATAATAAAATCTGATAATAAAAAAAAAGTAAGGAAAGAGGATCAAATAATTAAATAAAATAAAATTTATATGAAATTGTTTATGTTTTTTTAAACTCCAAAACAAAGAGTTTTTTTTTAAAAAAAAAAATCTTAATTTATGATGAATAATTAATATTATAAATGAAAGATAGTATTTTTATTTTTTATATTTATTTTTTATTTTATTTTTTTTAAATAATAATTTTTTTTTATAAATTATTGGTGATTTGTTAAGTTATGATGCAATGTGATGGGGCTACTTTATTTATAAATAGATAATTCTAATAAATATACAATTATTTGTTTGTGAAAACTAAAACCGAAAATTAAAAAAAATTTAATTTTTTAAAAAATTTCAAAATTTTTTTATTTAAAATAAAGGAAAATATAAATATATTATTTAGTTGAGATAAAATTATAACTGTAATATTCATTTAATTCAAAAATGTATATTATTACATTACCATGATCTTGTTTTTTTTTTTTTTTTTTTTTAAAAAATCTTTATAATAATGTAATGTAGACGGAGCTAGTTATAGATAAATAATAAATATAAATAGTTTGTTTTAAAACTGAAAACTGAAAAGAAAAAAAAAAAATAGAAAATTAAAAAATAAAATAAAATTTTCAGTTATTTTAATTATTTAATTTTTTAATTTTTTTTATTTTTAATTTTTAATTTTATTATTTAGTTGAGATATAATTATAACTGTAATATTGATTTAATTCTAAAATGAATATTATTAGTGTATTTTATTTATAAAATTTTATTAAACATAAGGTTGGGGTAAGTTTGAAACAAACAGAGGGTGGATAATCTTTTGGGGATGTAGCTCATATGGTAGAGCGTAAGGTTTGCAATAATACGATGGGCAAAAAAACCTTCAAAAACATCTTGAATCGTTACATATACACTCATTTTGAAATTTAAAAAAATCGCCTCGAGAGGGGTTCGAACCCTCGACCCTCACTTGGTTTATATTCCAGCTAATAGGAAAGTGATGCTCTATCCACTAAGCTATCAAGGCTAAGGAAACCACCACCACTCCAATTTGTATTTTTTGGCCCATTCTTAAATTGATTTTGATAAAATTTTAATATTTAATATTTTATTTGTGAAAAACTTTAAATAAATTTAAAAAAGTATTTCATCAAAAAATAATTAATATATAAAAAAAAAATTTAATTTAAAAAAAAAAAAAAAAAAAAAAAAAATATTAGTATTTTGTATTTAATTTTAAATAATATTAATACTTAATTATAAACAAATAAAAAATAATAATTATTTTATTTAATAAAAAAATTTATTATTTTAAAATTTTAACACACAGAATTAATGAATTAATAAATTTTTTATAAGATTTTTAAAACAGTAAAATTTAAATAAATTAAAAAAATTAATTTTTTTAAAAAGAAATAATAAAAATAATTTAAAAAAAATAAATGATGATATTTTGTTATCATTGAAAAATAATCCTAAAATTTTTTTTTGAAAAACATAAATTACGATTTTTAAAAAAAGATATTTTTTAATTTCCCACCTAAATAATTTAACAAAATGAATTTTTATATAGAATTTGGATTATAATTTTCTTGGTGGGAAAATATAAAAATTAAAACTTTGATAAGATTAACTTTGCACCTGCAAATATTAAATAATTAAGTTGCTTCTATTTTTTTTTTTTTTTTTTTTTTTAAATTAATTAAAACTATAAATATGGTAAATGAAAAATATTAAAAACCATTTTACAATTTAAATAATAATTATAATAAAAAACTAAATTATAATTAATGAAAAATTATATAAAAATGAAAAAATTAAATTTTATTTTTTTATTATTTTTTATATATATAAATTTTATTTCTGCACAATTTATTACATTCGAAGTCTATAATGACCCTCAATGTGTTGAACCACAAAAATATGGTATTGGTTATTCCAGTGCACTCGATGCATGTGTAACCATAGACTATGACTTTTCTTTTGTTTTTAAACAAAAGAATGATATCGAAATCCAATGGAATAAATACCCATATAAGGGGAGTAGCTCCTTATTCGAGTGTAGCGATGAATCAAGTATTCAAAACTCTACATTTTATGTTGGCTCATGCATCCCATCTTCCGATATTCAGTTAAACACACAACATCTTAATATGAAATCAACATATTATAAACTATACTTTACCCAAGAGGTTTACTATCCATCTGGAAACGTCATGGTTTCAAGCTACAGCATCAATGATTGTAATGCAAATTCAAACATATACCTTATTGAATATATCTATAGTGGTAGTAAAATCAATGTAGGTAGTAAAAACAATCCATTTATATTCCTTTGTTCAAACGGTGAACCATATACACAATATTGTCCAAATGCCAGAGATTGCCAACCACCTCAACCATTAGATGTTGGTTGTAATCAAATTGAACCATTCTATAACAACACATCATCCGACTCAAGTAGTGAACACAATGAAAGTAGTAACGATGATAGCCAAACTGGGTGCCTCAGTGCTGGTTATAGTGGCTATACAGGTTGCTTACCAAACACAGGTAAATCAATTAGTGTTGTAGAAAATAATGGAGGAAGAAAACAATCCAATCCAACAATTCATAATAAACCAATTAACAACAACAATGGTGGTAACGGTTTTAGTGGTAATAATCAAAAACCCATATTCTATAACTCTATTACCTGTTCATGGAGTTAATAATAAAACCAATCCCCATTATCAATATTTGATAATCACTTTAAAAAATTTTTTTTATATTTTTTTTTATTATTTTATTTTTTTTTAAAGATGTTTCATTTTATATTACTAATTTTATTTGTTTTTTCTTTTATAAATTTTATTTTCATAATATCCATCTATAAAAAAAGATTAATTATTTATAAATTAAAAAAAAAAAAAAAGGAACTATAAATTAATTAATTAATAATATTATATCAATTCTTTAATATTAATTACGAATAAAAATAATTAATGATTGATAAAATAGGAGATTTGAATAGGGATAGAAAGGAAATGAAAAAAAAAAAAAAATATAAAAACGAAAAATTAAGGTATTATAAGAGTAACACCCAGTTTATATTTTTTTTATATATATCATTTTTTTTTTTTACAATGAAAACTATTATTTATTTGTTTTTTATTATTATATTGTTATTAATATTATTATTATTATTATTATTATTATTATTATTATTATTATTATTATTATTATTGTTATACTCTATTTTTGGAAATTATTATATTTAATTAAAATAATTTAGATATATGTATGTAGAATAAATCGAATTGTATTTGATTAAAAGATATATTTTTTTTTAATATTATTTTTAATATATTCTTTACCATTCAATTCTTGCATAATGATGAAACATAGATCTTTCTAAATATAAATAATATGTTTTTTCATATTTTTAATAAAAATTTAATTAATAATTAATTTGATATAAAGAACGATAATTAATATTAATAATAATAATAATAATAATAAAAATAATTAGTAATATACTTACACAATCCAAAGTACACAGTCCTCCACATTTTAAAATATAAATAAATATTAAATATCTATTTGATCTTTAATCTCTAATTGATTACCCACTCCCACACACTTATTCGTTCATTTCATTAAATGAAAATTAAAAAAAAATAAAAAAAAATAAAAAATTAAATTTTTTTTATTTTTTTTAAATTTTTATTTTTTAAAATTTTTTTCTATTTAATTTAAAATAATAATTAAATTTAACACTTGCATATTCTTACACATACAAATTAAATCTTGTGTGTACTTTTGTGTACATGTTATAATATACACAAAATAAAAATTAAACAAATACATTCAATTCATTCAAAACATTCTCTCTGTCACCCCCCCAACACTCACACTCACACCTATTGTGTTTTTATCTTTTAATAATAAATTATTTAATTACAAAAATAATTAATATTATATAATTTATTTTTTTATTTATTATAATAATAATAATAATAATAAAGTTAATATTAATTAAAATTTTAATTAATAATTTTATAATTTTGAAACAACATATCAAAATATCCATATATAATTAATAACCTATATTTATTTTTTTTAAATTTCATTTATTCTATTTATTTTTATTTATATATATATAACATATTGTGTAGTGTTGTAATTTTATAGGATTTATTTATTTAATTATTTAATTTAATTATTTATTTATTTAATTTAATTATTTATTTATTCAAATAAAATTTTTTTTAAAGGATGGGTAATAATAATTCATCAACAAGGAAAAGAGCAAATTCAACAGTTGTATCATCATCAGTTTATTCACCACCAGTAAATTTAAGTAGAACAAGATCAAAATCATTAATACATACAAACGATGAAATACCACAGCAAATGGAACAGTTAGATTTAAACAATAGTAATAATAGTGAAAATGAATCAACAGTATCATCAACTTTAACAACTACAACAAAAAACAAAAAAAATAAAAACAAAGCCTCATCACCATTTAATACATCTTCAGCATCAGGGTCATCTACATTAACACCATCTTCATTATCTTCATCCAATAAAAAATTATCATCATCCTCCTCAGCTTCATCTTCAGGGTCAGGTTCCTCATCAAATAAAAACACCAAAGCAAACAATAGTTCAAACTTGGGTGGTAAATCATTTAAACTGGATTTACCAATTTTTAAAATTAACGATGACTCATCAAAGAATAGTAGTAAAAACAATAGTAGAAACAACAGTAGAAATAATACACCAAGAAACATAACTCCAAGATCAATTCACTTAGAAAATAGTAATATTGAAGATAATAATATTAACAATACCAATGAAATAGCCAATCCTATTATCAAAAAGGATATTAAAGAAATACTATATGACCAAATCATATCAGTATCATCATCAAATAATAATAATAGTATCAATAACAATAATAGTAATAACACAGATTTATTAAATGAAATTGATTGGAGTTTTAAAAATTTAAATAATAATGATATCGAATTTATATTTAATGATAGTGGTAGTAATAATATCAACTTAAAATCAATTAAAAAAATAGATTTAAGTCAAAATAATTTAAACAAACTACCAGGATGGATAAATGAATTTACATCAGAATCATTAGAGGTCTTAAATTTATATCAAAACCAAATTGGGTCAGTAAACTTTTTAGCAGAACCAATACCATTAAGAAAACTAGAGAAATTAATACTATCAAAGAATGAATTAACAGATGAACATTTAAAAGAAGGCTCTGCAATAAACCAAATTCTAACATTGCGTACATTAACATTGTCATCGAATAAATTAACTAAGGCATTTCCAAATCTTTCAAATCTTGTAAATTTAGAACGTTTATCATTGGATAGAAATCAAATGGCTGAACCATTAGAGCAAGATGGTGCACCAAATAGACTACCATGTAATTTGAAGTCCTTAAGCTTATCACATAATTTATTCACAAGTATTCCATTTACAGTGTACAATTGCTTAACATTACGAGAATTGGATTTATCAAATAACAAATTAATTGAAATTCCAAAAGATATTGGTCAATTAAAGTATTTAGAAAGTTTGACCCTATCGTTCAATTCAATCAAATCTCTACCAAGTGAAATAGGTGATTGCATTAATTTAACATCACTAGATTGCCAATCAAATAAAATAGAGTCCATTCCAAACTCGATCAACTCTTTATCAAAACTCCACACTTTAAATTTCTCAAATAACCTTTTAACCACTGTTTCAATTCAATCATTTAAACTACCGTCTCTATCAATTTTATATTTAGATAATAATAAAATCAATAGTATTGTAGTAGCTGCAGCCGAAGTTACCAATAATGGAGATGAAGAAAAAGGAAAAGAATATAAACTATCAGAAATTTATATTAGCGGTAATGAATTACAGTCAATCGATCCAATTTTCACCATTAATTCACTACGTACAATTTCAGCAAACTTTAATGAAATCAATGAATTACCAAATTATATTTGCAATTTAAAAGATCTCTGTAAATTAGAATTAAATGAAAATCAATTATCAACTTTACCAAAATCAATATCGGAAATGAAACAATTGTATGAAATTGATGTATCAAATAATAAAATTGAAGAACTACCATACGAATTATCGCGTATGAATTGGCTTCAAGACTTAAACCTATTTAGAAATCCAATATTAAATAACATACCTAGAAATTTACAAAGAAAAGGTATTAATGGAATAAAGGAATATTTAAAAACTTTAAAATAAAATAAAATTTTAAATAATTATTTATTTAATTTTAAATATATATTTATAAAAAAAATTAAAAAAAAAAAAAAACAGTGTGTATTATTTTTTTAATGTAAATTTCGTTAATCATTTTAAAAATTAAAAAAAAAAAAAATGTTGCAATTTAATTTTATTTAATAAATCTAAAAAAAAATAAAAAAAACAATTTTTTTAAAAAAAATCAAAATTTTTTTTTTTAAATAATTTTTAATAAAAAAAAATGATAAATATAACAAAGAATGAATAATATAGATAATGATAATAATATAGACAAAAATAATAATATTAAAAATAATAATAATAATAATAGAGATTTAACAACACTGTTTAATTTAGTTTGGAAAAATATATTTTTAAATAAATTAATTTTTCATTATTTATTTTTATATAATTTAAATTATTTTAAAAGAGAATTTCGATCATTTAAAGAACTAAAAGAATTTAAAAATAATGAATATTTAAGAGATGTAAATTTATTTTTTTCAATAACCACCAATAATCTGGAAACCCTTATACCAAGGAATGTTATAAATATACAGATTTATTCATCACTCTACAAAATATCACTTCCTAGTTGGATCAAATCATTGATGATAAATGATTTCGAAGGGTTACCAATATTAAATAATTTATCAACATCAATTATCGAAACTCTTACCATGACGTTTTACGAAGAGGGTAAATATCTAGATAGATTGTTATTACAGTTAAGAGAGGATAATTTACCAAGCTCTCTTACAGAATTAAAGCTGTTTTCATTTCCAACCAAACTAAAGACTGGTATGCTGAATAGCAATTTAAAGAAACTAATCATTACAGGTAGTGGTTCTATTGAAAGATTTGCTCTTCCACAATCGTTAACATTTCTCGATGTATATGACTCTAAAAGTAACACTGCAACCTTCGGTTCATTTATGTTTAAACCAGGTTTCCTACCAAACCAATTAATATCGTTAAAACTTGGTGTTACTGTTGGTAAACGGTGTCAAATTCCTGACGAATTCGAATTTCCCAATTCTTTGACAAGTTTAGAACTTAGAGTCGATCAATTAAACTTTAAATTACCACCACTACTGAAAATTCTCAAAATCGATATCAAATACTATACCGAACCACTTTTAAGAGAAATGATACCAAGAGGCATTCGAGAATTAGAGATCAACTGTAAAACCTTAATAGACCCAAATGGTAAATCAATTTTACCCGATAATTTAGAGAAACTGACCATAACAAGATCGGTGTTCAATCAAAGGCTTGTGCCTAATGTATTTCCCACCACCCTTAGATCACTGGTATTTGGTTACGATAAACTTTCAAACTACTATAACGAATTTAACAATGGCGGCCAACCACTAATAGAACCAAACATACTCCCTAAATCATTGACTCATCTAGATCTTGGTGATGTGTTTAACCAAACTATTGGACCGAATGTTCTACCACATCAACTTAAAACACTAATATTTGGCTGTGAGTTTAACCAAACATTTGGCGCAAACGTTCTACCTCCAAACTTGGAAACACTTATACTGGGTTTTGAATACAACCAAATGGTTTTTGAAAACTCATTGCCATCAAATTTACAACTACTTCAAATTAGAAATAAAAATTACGATCAATTTCCTATACGACTAAATAACCCATTAACAGCTGTAGAATGCCTAAACTATCATAAGCAATTCATAGACTCTCCACTCAGGCTAAAAGCAATACAACTATTAAACCCAACGTATTCAGAATCTTTAAAGAGTTTTAGCAATCTCGAGTATTTAAATATTACCAACTCTATCTTCACCCCTAAAGAACCAATAGAAAACTATTTGCCAGATAACAATAAAATTAAAACTCTTAGTATTGGTTTAAAATTTAAATCTACTATCAACCTAGAGTTTTTTCAAAAGTTAGAGTATATAATAATAAACAATGACGCAAACCCGTCCATAACAACATGCAACCATCCAAATGGTGATATAAATACATTCAGTTTAAAAGAAATTAGTGTTTCAATCAAAAATACACAATTCCTAGATAAACTAAACCCACTATTTTATTCACTTGTAAAATTAAGAAATAGTAATGGTTAGTATTATATATATATATATTAAATAAAATAAAACCTTTTTTTTTTTTATATTTATTTATAATATTAATAATTAATTATAAAGAAAAAACTATTTAAAATTATTTATTTAACCATTATTTATACTATTTGTTTTTTATTTTTTATTTTATTATTTTTTATTATTATTATTTATTGTCACTTTTTTTTGACTGCTTTGGTGAAGAGAATTTTGATAAAATTTCAGATTCTGTTAAAGGCTTAGCATTAGAGTCTGTTTGAACTTTGTCTGAATGATTTTGAATACCCAAGTCATCAAATAAATCGTTGTTTTCGTTAGTTGTGTTTTCTTTTGATTGGTTTTTGTTATCTTGTTGCTTCTTTTCGCTTTTTGGTGAAGAGTAGGATAGTAATGCATCAGTGCCTAATGGTAATACATTTGATGATGGATTTTCTGCTGTAGTTTCAAAATCTAAATCTATTAATGAATCTGACATTTTTTAAAATTCTACTATTTGATTTTTATATACAAATTTATTTTAATATACAAGATATATTAAGTATATCTATTGTTTATGAATATATTATTTACAAAAAAAAAATTAAAAATTTATAAATTAAAAGGAAAAAAAAATACAATAATTATTTTTGTTTTTTTTTTTTGTTTTTTTTTATTAATGTGTAAATATTAAAAAATTACTGTGAGTGTGTGTGATATGGAAAAAAATTTAAAAATATTTTTTTCTTTTTATAGATTATTCGATATGTACAATGGAGTGAGTGTATATAAAGTGTTATTAATAATTATGTTGTATAATGTTTATTAATATATTTTTTATATTATATCATTAAAAATTGTTTTTATAGCTCAAAAAAAAAAAAAAAATTAAAAAAATAAAAAATAATATATTTAAATATATATTTAAAAAAAATAAATTAAAAAAATAAAAAATTAAAAAAAAAAATTAAAATTTTTATGTGAATTAGTTTTATAATAATTAAAATTATAAAAAAAAAATATTAGTTTTTTTTTAAAAAAAAGTGTTATTTTTAATTTTATTTTATTTTATTTGTTTATTATTTATTTTACAATTTTGATTAAAAAATATATTTGTTCATTTTACAAAAAAAAAAATGGGTTATAATTTTTATATTAGAAAAAAAAAAAGAGGAGGAAAAAATTTATTGTTGGTTTCTATAAAAGAAGTATATATTAATTATATTTTACTATTCTATTATTTAAGATGTCTATAAATCTGATGACTATTATTACTATTGTTATTATTATTATTATTATTATTATTATTATTAATCATTTTAATTTGATTAATTGAAAATTTGATTTTATACATTTATATTTTGAAATTTTATATTATTATTGTTATTATTATTATTTTTAATAAATTAGATTTGATCTGTGATATAATTTTCCATTATTTGATTGAATAATAAACTCTTCTATGGTTAACATATCATTACTATTATCTCTTTTTTCTGAAATTTTTATAAATTCTTCAACAGTTAAAAGCTCTTCACCATCATCTTCTTGACCAACTTGGTCTTGGTGCTCGATTGCATGTTGTCTCTTTTGTAATGAAAATGATGAGAGTGAGGATGGTGATGCGTCTTGCTCATTGTGTGGTACGACTGCAGCACTACTATTACTGCCTCTTCTACTGCCATTATTTGATCGATTATTATTGGTAGTATTCTTTTCTCTGCAACTTAAAATAAATTCTTCTACTGTCATTAAATGATTTTCATTTTCAATTTCATCGTCTTCTGATGATACTTTAATACTATTGTTACCACTATTACTTGGATCCATTTGATTTAAACCTAAAATAAACTCTTCTACTGTCATTAAATCATTTTCATTGTTATTATTGTCATTTTGTGATGATGCCTCCTCTTCTTCTTCGTGAACTATTTGATCCTGATTTCTTGGTAAAGTAGCTGGTGGAATTGTATTTGTTCTTTTTCTTGAAAGATTGAATCTCATTTTCTATGTATATATGTGGGTGTTTGATGAAGCAAAAAAACTTTAAATTTTATTATAAATTAATATTTATCTTTGAAATGGTATTGATATTATATATAGTAATTTTATAGTTATTAAAAATAACAATAATAGGGTTTGATTATAAACAATAATAAATATAAAAATGAAAAAAATACAATCAAATACTAATTTTTTTGATATTATTTTTATGACTGGTAATAAATATGATTATTTTTTTGATTAATAATAATAATAACAACAACAACAATAACTAGATAATCGATAAAATAATAAATATGAAAAAAAAATACTGTTTGGAGGGGATTATTAAAAAATAAACAAAATAGTTTGTATGGTAATTATTATATAAGCAAATATAAAATATATATAAGAATTAATAATAATAATAATAATAACACAACAACAGCAACAACAAATAAAAAATATAATAACTAATTTGTTATTTAATAAAGTAATTATATTATTTATATTATTATAAAAAATTAATATAAAAAATTAATTTTAAAAAATAAAAGTAATTTTTAAAAAAAAAAAAAAAAAGAAAAAAAAAAAAATATTGTGTGGGTGAATTTTTTTGTGTTTAATAAACAACAACAAAAAACACACACAAACCAACCCACTTACACACTTACAACCCACTTTCCCACACACACCCTCAAAATAATATTTATATGGTATTTTTATTATTATGTGCATAATAACCATTATTATTTTTGTTTAAAATAGGTTTAAATTTTAAATCTGAGCGAGAAAAGTGGGGGTTTTGATATAGATTTTTTATATGTTTATTATTTTCCATAAACAAAAAAAAAAAAAAAAACCCATAACCAAACATAACATATTTCTTTATAACCAAAAAGTATACATATGTTTTTTTTTTTAAATTTATTAATAGACTATACACACTGTTTTTTTATGTACAAAAATACTTTTGATTAGCTCTAAGAGAGTTTAGTGTATTAAATAAGATGGTATTATTACTGTAATTATTTAAATTAATTAAAAATTAATTTTATATTGATAGCTTGATATATATATATATGAAATTTGATATGATAATAAATGATATGGACTATGAGTAATAGTATTTTGTGCTTATTTTATTTTAGTAAATTTTATTTGTTTATTTATAAGTTATTTATTTATTTATTGGCTATTTGTTTAATGTTTAAGTTTATTTATATATTTATGAAAATTTATAGTTTTTTTTTTTTTTTTTTTTTATTATTTTAATTATTTTGTTTTTATTAATTGAAAATTAATTTAATTTAAAATCAGTTAGCACGAGTTAAAAAAATAAAAAAAATAAAAATAAAAAAATCCAATAGTGAGTGTGTTTGTGTTATATATTTATATATTATTATTATTATTTATTAATTATATGAAATCGATAACAATCACACTGCACATAACTTTATAATTAGAATATTTTTTGGGATCAAAAGAAACATTTTTGTTATTTGATGTGTTAATATGAAATCTTACCACACAACTTTTTTTTTTTGTGTGTGGTGGGTGGAGGTTTTTGAATTTATTTTAATCTAAAAAGACCTCAACCCCAAAGATTGAATATCTGAAAAAAATCCCCACACAATATACAAAAATAAATACAACACACACCAAACAACATTATTTTTTTTTATATGTGAATAACAACATAACAAATATTAATAAAAAAAAAAAGATAAAAATAAACATTTAGTTGATAGTTATTGTTATATTTATAGGTTATTTAATTCTTTATATTCAAGTATCTTTTCATTTTTTTTATTGTGTTATTTATGTTGCTGTTTGAGTGTGCTTGAAGGTGTATATATGTGTGTGTTTATATTTTTGGTGTATATAATATATGAAGATGATAATACATATATAAACTTTAATCTTGTGATTGCACGTAGTGCTTTGGGGTGTGACTGTTTGTGTGTGGACGAAATGTAGCAGGTAAAAATTAAAAATACAAAATGAAATACAAATACAAAAATAATATATTGAACCGATTGCGATAGTGGTGTTTTAATGTTGTTATAAGATGATTTCCACAATACCTTTGTGTGTGTCTATTTCAATAACTATCTTGATTTTTTTTTAAGTGGTAGATTATTTTTTTTAATTTAATTTAATTTGGTTTGATCGTATCTAATTAAATTGAATTTATATTATAAAAATGTACTGGTACTTGATTATTTAAATTATTTATTTATTTATTTATTTATTAATTTATTTTTTTATTTATGTGAATATTATGTGTGCAAAAAATATAAAATAAAAAATATAAAAAACACATTTTTTATATTATTTTTTTTTATTTTTTATTATTTTTTTTTAATTTTTTTTTTTCAAATTTTTATGTGAAACCGCTATGGACTAAATCAAAAAGATATTTTTTGGTGTTGTTTTCTTTTTGTATTGACTAAAATTCACAGATTTTATATAGATTTTTATTGATTGATTGGTTTTTAAATGATTGCCAAAACCTTTATCAGTTTTTACACCTCTATTTTTTTAATATAAAGAAAATGTGAAAAATATCACATTTTTATTTTTTAAAGAAGTGAGGTGATACACCTTGAACCACTTTTTTTTATTTCTATGTAATTTTTTATTTTTTTGCATATTCGAGGTGTAATGTTCCACAGATTTTTTAATAAAAAAAAAAAAAAGTGATAAAGAATATGAAAAAAAAAAAATATATTATATGAAACACAATTTAATCTCTTAATATTATAATAATTGTAGTTTAGATTAGGTGATCATTAATAATTTAATATCTTCATTAATTTTTCCATTTTCATTTTATTTTGTTAAAATATTATTTTTTTAATTTTTTATAAATTTTATTATTATTTAAATTGAATATTATTAAAAATAAACAAAATATAAAATATAAAATATAAAATATAAAATATAAAAATATAAATATAAAATATAAAATAAAATAAAATACAAAATACAAATATAAAATATAAATACAAATAAAATAAATAAAAATAAATAAAAATAAATAAAAATAAAATAAATAAAAAT